GCAGTTTTTCTTTGGAAGCTCGGGCTGGAGGAGAGACTTTTCCACCACACGAGACCCCGAACCAAGCTCAGGGTTCTCACAGCCCTGGGGACAGGGTTTGGGTGATGCTGGTGGGGCTGGACGATCCTGGAGGGCTCTTCCAGCCTTGATGATTCTGGGATTTAGTGTCAAGAGGTAAAATTTACTGCTGAAGGTGGTGGATGGGTGTGCCTGGTCTCAGCATGGGATCCATGGTGTCCAAAGGAGACAATTATCAAGTTGTGCTTCGTGGAAGGTGACTGGCAAAGAGACTTTCTGGCTGTTGGCCTTTGATGGCATCTCCATGACTCAGGAACAACGTGGGAGAACACTGTGGGGCCTGGTGCAGCCCCTGGTGGTTTCTGTGTCCCTGCCTGTGGCAGGGGGTGCAACTGGATGATCTCTGAGGTCCTTTCCAACCCAAGCCATTCCAGGATTCTGTGATTTGTAATTAGCAAAGACATTTTTGATCCCCACTTTGCTTGGGCCTCCCAATAACCTCATCGTCATGAAAGTAGAACCACAGAATTCACAGAATTCCAGAATCACTGGGTTGGAAGAGACCTTCAAGATCATCAAGTCCAAGCCCCAACACCTCAACTCAACCCTGGCTTAGTTTAAAACATCCAGGCTTGTTTTAAACGCACCCAGGGGTGGTGACTCCACCACCTCACCGGGCAGGACATCCAGAACTTTATCACTCTTTCCATAAAAAACATTTGCCTAACATCCAGCCTAAACTGAGTTAGGCATTTGAGAGATACTCTGAAATCTCTGGGTTTCTTGCCTTTTGGAGCTGCCACAGCCCCAGGAGTTGCTGATTGTCCACGTGTGGAGCAGGAGCAAGGGCTGGTTCCTCATCTCAGCACAAACCCGTGGGGCTCTCACAGCTCCTCCTTGCTGCTCCTGCACCTCCTCAACTGCAGAGCTTGAAACAGCTCTCAAACCCATCTGAAATTCAGGGGAAATTGTTGGTTTTCTCAGCTTTTACGGAGATGGGGCAACTGAGAGCTGTTTGAAAAGATTTTATTCTGAGTCTCGAATAGTGGCATACAAGAGATGGAAAGCTCAACATCATTCCATCAGAATCCAGCCTGTTTTTTAATTACAATACTTTATAAATGTTTCACAACTTACTAACTTTTACCACACAATACTACTATTACTTCTAACACCAATTATCTGTATTTTTTCCCCTACATAGCCTTACTACAATACATCTTTCACAGTTCTAGTTCTCTAAAACATCTAATCATTTTACAAAACCATTTTTAAACTTTATCTTAGTATTTACACACAAACATACAACACTATATAAACTTTCTATTGAATTTTAGAAATTCCTTACAAATCCATTTCTCACAGGAAATCATTGTGAATGGTACATTTTTCTCTGATTTGGGCTGCCCTTACCCCCAAGACAAGATTGCTTTTATAGGGATGAACAATATCATGTTTGTGCCTGTGGGAAAAGCAGATTTGTGGGTTAGACATCACTTTTTGGGCTTACCTGACAGACAACACCTTGAATATGTTTTATCTCTGAAATAACTCTTGCTGAAAACGTGAAATGGAAGAGGATGGTGGTACAGTTGAGATCTGTTTAAAAGTGGCTTGAACAAAGTTCTCACAGTAGGGTTTTTTCTTCTTTTCTTTCCTTTTTTTTTTTATTTTTTTTTTTATTTTAAGTGTAGCATTGACTCATTTGGTGGTGTTAAAGTGCACTTTCTACTTATCCCCAGAGGAAAGTTAGTATTCTTTTAAGTGAAACTATTTTAAAAGCAGAACACAAGCCTAAAATAAGCCAGTGTTCTCTAGAGCTCTCAGAAGGTGTAGATTTATTTACTGTAGTTAAATCATAATTAGTTCTCAGGGGATAGTGTATCTTTTAAACTGCTTTATTGCCACCATATTGGTTTTCTAAATAATCAGAAACTGCTGCTCTTATATTTTGTAGTATGAACAAAAATTCGCTGTAAGTAGAAACAAATGTTTAGAATTGCTGGTTGTCACTTGCTGAAGATGGGGACACCAAAAAAATGAGCACTTGAAGAAGAAGTGAAGAAATACAAAACCTGTGTTATCAGAACTTAAATGAACTATAGCTCTGACTTATTTCAGCCTAGCAGATAAAATAATATTTTATATTATCGTTTTTCAGCCAATCATTTTTTTAAAATTCTAATGGGTTGTGATCAGGACTAAATGCAAACTGAAAAAATGGTGGTGCAACGTTAACATAATATATTACCTGATATTTAAGCCTTGATTTTCATGAATGTAGCTTAGTGTTGCAGCTGATAAGCATGTGGGGTTTTTGGTTTTTTTCCCTAATTGGCAGGTTAATGTTCGACTTGCCTGAGGAGATGGGTTTAATAGCAGTGGCTGTTCGACAAACACAAGGGAAAGGTGAGTAAATTTCCTTATTTTACTCATAAATATGTATTAAATACACAAAACAAGACATTTTAAGCTGCATCATGAGCATTTTTGATAATATAACCCATAGAATAAGCCTGTCCTCTTCTCCTCCCTCGAACTGCAGATTCAAACTGAAAACCCAAAAGTTAATAAGAGCCCAAAGTAAACATTTTTTCAGGATGTTTGGTGGCTTTTGCAGAAATTATTTAGTGGTCTCCTGGTTCCTGCCAAAAAAGTTTCGCCAGTGAAGAAAGCTGCCATCACTGCTCTCAGTGTAACACAAGTCAGAGCTCCAGATGAAAACTGAAACTGGGCTAACTGGAACAGCACTGGGGCCTTCACTTGCTCTGAGATTGAGTCTGAAGGACCTGCCTGAGCAGATAAATGTAAGCAAGTCGTGTTTCCTGCCCAGAAAAATGCTGGCACTTCTTTAAAAGCCACATTTATTCTGCTGGAAGAGCAGAGTGTGTGGCCCAAGAAGCTTTTCTGAGCACGAATCCGTGAGGAGATGATTCCCTGCTTTCAGCGCAGGGTGGTTCAGAGTTTGGGTGCATTTCTGGCTGCACACAGAGCATTTCCAGAAATGCTTCTCCACTTGGACAAAGCAAGGGCTTCTAAAATGTGTCTGCTAGCAGAGACCAGGGAAATCCTGGAAGCAGGGGATTTAGGATATGCTGGGAAATTAAGTAGCAGCTTGTACTTCAGAACGTCAGAATAGAATTATAGAATGGCCTGAGTTGGAAGGGACCTTAAAGATCATCTTGTTCCACCCCCTGTCACACCTTCCACAGAACCAGGTTCTCACAGCCCCATCCAACCTGGCCTTGAACACTTACAGGGATGGGAATAAAATTAAATTTTAAAATTTAATTTTAAAATTTAAAAATTCCAGGTGTTTTGAAGAAAAAGCTTTGCAGTTTAACCCTTTTTTCTTTCAAAATTAGTTTGGAAACTCCATTAGAGCAACTTTTGGCACATTCTTGGATGGATACGTTTGAATTTTTCTCTTTAGTTGTTATCTACATTCACAAAGTGATTTTTTTTTTTTTTAATAAATGTTCTTTTCTTGAGTTTAAGTTCCCCTTTTTCCTCTCCCCGCCCAGGTCGTGGTGGGAACGTTTGGCTCAGCCCCGTGGGCTGTGCCCTGTGCACTCTGCACATCTCCATCCCTCTACATTCCAACCTGGGCCAGAGAATTCCCTTTATCCAGCACCTGGTGTCCTTGGCAGTGGTAGAGGCAGTCAGATCCATACCAGGATATGAGGTATGTCCTTCTAATTCATCTCAAAACTCCTGGTTCCCTTTCCATTAAATTCAGATTTTAGCTGTGTCTTTTCTGTGTAGAATGGCTGAATGCATAATTCAGTTCTTCAGCACTAAGAAGAATCTAAACTTAACCTTCCTAAATGTTTGATTATTGATATGTTTGAAGAAACCCATTATCCAGAGGATGAATATTCTTTTACAGAGCTGATCAAATGCACTACACTCATTTCACTCTTAATCTTGTGGAACTTAAGCCTCAATCCTCAGCAGTAAAGAAAAAGTCAGTTTTGTTTGCCCAACAATGGAGCTGATTTGTTTTGATTTTGAAGGAGAATAAGGAGGATGGAAAAATGAATAAAACTGACAAATCCTTTTCTGCTTTTTTTGCTGGTGCTGTTTCAGTGGTCATTTTATCCCTTTTAAAGGATTTTTCCAACCCTTGTTTAAGGTTGAAAACTGATTTCTAAAGCAAGAACTGAGGAGAATTGCTCTCGAGAGGGAATCAAGTGTCCTGTCATCAGTATTAAAATGAAGAACCAGTCTTCTTTATCACCTCATATATCTCCTTTTTAATGTTACCATTTCCTAATATTTGCTAACTATAAAACTTTGGTATTTTACAGAAGTAGTTAACTAAAGCATATGTTTCCTATATTACAGAAAATCAATGACTTATACACATTTACACATGAACTTTATTATAGTGGCACCCAGTAGCTTTGCTGGAGTTTAGGGTCTGTCAGCCTTTCTATTAAAACCTTCTAAATTCAGTGCTTCATAACCTGAGTGGAAAAACAAAATGCTTCAGGCTAAAATTTGCAATATAAAATATTTGGCTGGAGTGGATAATTGGACCACTTAAAAACGAAGGGACAAGAGTTAGTTTTATAAAATACAGGGATGACTGGGAAAGGAGCTGATTTATGAATGGAGGTGGTTTTGCTCCTGTGTGCCTGCCCTGATGTACTGTGGCATTTTTTAATTTTATTCCATTGAAGAGAAAAAAGGTGACAGAAGTTCCAAATATTGATGTAAAAAATGTGGATCATTAATGTGTGTACTGTACTGAGCATTTGGACAGCAAAAAGCTTTCTGTGACAAGACAGATCTACTGAAGCTGAGGGGACATCAGCCCTTGGCAGGGGAGCAAAACAGAATTAAAGGTTTAGAATCAAATATGTTACAGCAAGAAAATTTAAAACTTTATCAAAAACTCAGTGCTTGAATATCACTTTTAAACTCAGGTCCTGCAAGGCTTTTCTTTGTGTCCCTGTCATGCCAACTGCAGCAGCCATCACAAGGGGATGAGCTAGAGAGTCATGGAATCATGGAATGAGTTTGGTGAGAAGGGATCTGAAAGATCATCCCACCCCTGCCATGGCAGGGACATTTCCACTGTCCCCAGGCTGCTCCAGCCCCAGTGTCCAACCTGGCCTTGGGCACTGCCAGGGATCCAGGGGCAGCCACAGATGCTCTGGGAATTCCATCCCAGCCCTTCCCCACCCTCACAGAGAAGGATTTTTTTCCCAATATCCCACCTAAACTTGTAATTTCTCAGTTTGAGCCATTCCCTGTGTGCTGTCCCTCCATGCCCTGGAAATTGTCTCTCTCCAGCTTTCCTGGGGCTCCTCCAGGCCCTGCCAGGCCACCCTGAGCTCAGCCCAAAGCTTCTCCTGTGCAGGTGAACAATCCCAGCTGTGCCAGCCTTTCCTGCCAGCAGAGCTGCTCCATCCCTCTGCTCATCCTGGAGCCTCCTCTGGGCTGGTTCCAAAATGTCCATGTCTCAATTTATCAGCCTTAGGATGGCCACAATCACTGACTCTGCTGAACCAGCAGCAACCAAGGCTTTTGTTGTGAGTCTGAGGGCTCAGTTGGAAGTTCCCTTGTGAGATGTTAATGCTGAGGATGCAGATGGGCTTTAAATGGAGAGGATGCTTTGCTCTCCCGTTCTGACAACAGCAGAGCCTCTCTCTAGTGAGGCAAGACAAGAACATGCTCCATTTCCTGCCTGTTTGGTGATGTTTTGTGTGGTGCCTGGTGGAGCCACTCCCTGGCAAAGCCATGAGAACACCCAGCTGCCTCAGCTGTTCTTGTTGCTTGTTGTCACTTCAGGCACAGAGCTACTGTCTGGTGTCTTACAGGTGTGTGTTTCCCCCTTTGGCAGCCCTTTCATCACTGACAGCACCATTTCACTGGGTCATACCTCCCATGTCTCCAGAGCCCCCTGAAATCCCTCCCCCAGTGCGAGGAGCCGAGTTCTTTCCCATAACGAATAGGAGCTGGTGATACTTTCCCTCAGAATGCTTTGATAGCAAAATCAGGTAGTATTTCCTGTCAGTGGACGTGTCACGGACTCCTCCCTGGCCTTTAAATCTGTCAGGAAAGTAGACATGGACCCAGGTGCAGCTTTCACACATCCTGTAAAGGGATTTCATCCCCTACAATAGGAGGGAATGCGACTCTTGTAGGCCTGGAGCACCTCCCATAATTTGCCCCCAGGGATGCAGCAGTCATGGGCAGCGTTTCAAACTGCAGGAAGCACATTTGCTTTCTTTTTGTGTTTAAGTAGCCAGTGCAAAGTTCAGCTCAGCCCTGTGGTTTCAACAAAAGCTGCTCTGTGGGGCTGGGACACTGTCACACAGCTCAGTTTGTGTTTCCAGCCCCGCGACGCTGCCGAGAGCAGGGAGAGCTTTGGGATATTTCTGAGCTATTTATGTGGTTGGGAACTGGGATTTCTGCTGTCTGCTGAGTTTCCTTTCCCAAATTCAGGATGTCACTGTCGCTTTGGCTGCTACTGATGGCTTGGGAAGGCTGAGCTGGAGCAGAGCTGGGCAGAGCTACAGAATAAACAGGGATTTATTCAAGGATCTCCTCCATGGATCCACCTTGGGGAGCACCAGAGCCCAGCCAGGGCTGCACCCAAATGACCCAAAATGGTCCCAAAATGCACGAGCGCTCCCGGGGCTCTCCCTGGGATCAGTTCTGCTCCATTGGCACCTTGGAGTTCATTGTCCCATTCCAGCTCCAGCCCATCAGTCCCACCCTGCTTGTTTTTCTCTCTCCAGCCCACGCTGTTTGTGCTCCTGGGCTGAGGTTTGGATCATTTGTCCTTGGTGCCCAGCTGGAGCAGGAATTGTTTTGTCTCTGCTCTGTGCACAGAGCTCAGCATCCCATCATGTGAAGCCCAGACCCACCGACTAAAGCAGCACAGAATGTGAAATATAGAAAAGCTCAAACCTGAGGCATCGGTTCCTTCAAGTTTCCTCAGGCAGGGTTACATTTTCTGTAGCATTTGTGGAGCATTTCAGTAGATTCTCATCATGAGGAGCTGTTGACAGCAGCACTTTGGGTGTGGCAAAGAGACAGAGAAAATTCTCCTCCTCTGCTCTGCCCCCCAGGTGAGATCCCACCTGCAGAGCTGTCCCAGCCCTGCCCCAGCCCAGGAGGAGCTGGAGCTGCTGCAGAGAGCCCAGAGGAGGCTCCAGGATGAGCAGAGGGATGGAGCAGCTCTGCTGGCAGGAAAGGCTGGCACAGCTGGGATTGTTCACCTGCACAGGAGAAGCTTTGGGCTGAGCTCAGGGTGGCCTGGCAGGGCCTGGAGGAGCCCCAGGAAAGCTGGAGAGAGACAATTTCCAGGGCATGGAGGGACAGCACACCGGGAATGGCTTCAAAGTGAAAAATTCCAAGTTTAGGTGGGATGTTGGGGAAAAATCCTTCTCTGTGAGGGTGGGGAAGCCCTGGGATGGAATTCCCAGAGCAGCTGTGGCTGCCCCTGGATCCCTGGCAGTGCCCAAGGCCAGGCTGGACACTGGGGCTGGAGCAGCCTGGGACAGTGGGAGGTGTCCCTGCCATGGCAGGGGTGGCACTGGGTGATCTTTAATTCCTTTCAACCCAAACCATTCCATGATTCTCTACAGCCTCTGGAGTGATGAATGAGCTGTAAATGTCTCTAAATGTCTGGTTTTGTTTCTTTAGGACATTGAGCTTCGAGTCAAGTGGCCAAATGATATTTACTACAGTGATCTCATGAAGATTGGTGGAGTTCTGGTAAACTCAACACTCATTGAAACAACATTTCATATTCTCATTGGTAAATGTCTATTTTGAAGCATTTCTGTGCTGCTTTTTTTTTCTGGATGATTTTGTTATCAGTGTCTGTATCAGTAAAAATGGCAACGACAAGAACAAATAATGACAGCAGGCATAAATAAATAAAGCACAACATTAAATTCAGAGGAAGCACAAAAAGTAAATGTTTTCATTCTTCTTAATAATTCCATATGCTTGATAAGTCAAACATCAATGCAAGCATCTGGATTGGTGTAGTAGAGTTCAAAGGAAGAGCATTGCATGGGAGAGGGAAGTTGTCCTCCTTGATTTATTGCAAAATCAGTGGAATATACTGAAAACCCCATCCTTTTTTTCCAATTTATGGATTTTTTGGAACATGACAAACAGTTAAACGAAGAACATGCCTTTTAAATCAGAAGAAGAGCTATGTACACAGAGTAATGTTTTCATTTTTTAATTATTGAGATGTTTTTATCATCTCTAGTCTGATAATCATCCTGCTGTTTGATAAGGAAGTTTTCCCCTAAGCTTCCCAGATCTGCTAAGAAACCTGCCAGATTCTGGTTCAAAAAGTAATTGTCTCTGCTGCGTCTGAAAAATTGAAAGAAAATTCCTTAGCAAGTCTAAAAGTATAAAGAAAAATATGATATTTGCTATTTGAATGTAGCACAAGTAAATTATCCTGCAAAGATGGAGTGGTCATGATGTTGTTCCTGTCAAAGTTCTGTGATTTTAGAGGTGCAAGCAAGAAAAGGGTTGAAGAGGACACCTCCTTCTGTGCAACAGACTTGACATTTTCTGTTCAATTTTATACCTTCATTTTGTAAATAATCAACTCGAACAGAATGGAAATTGCACAGAAACTTAAGAAATCTCTCTGTGCCCCATCAACCATTTACAGCTTCCGTGTTTTCCTACAGCCTGTTTCACACAAGGAGAGCAGAAATACATCCAAAAGTAGTTCATTATATCAAGTATCCCTTAAGCACTTCACATATTTGGTTTGGACCTTTTGATTCTTACCCTAAACATCAAAATATTGAAACAGAGATTTTCTGTGTCCATTCTCTCTGATATCCATCTGGTTGGTCTGGTATAGATGAATGCCCGTTTTCATCAGTCTGTTTTCACCTGGGAGCTTTTAAAATTGAAACTTCCTTGCTCCATATGAATCCAAGGATCTTTTCCATCATTCCAGTGCTGTGTTTCCCTGGAAGTTCTCGAGGGCCTCATGACATTTAAGTTTTTGTGTTAGTAGCACTGATGGGATTCAGCTTCCCCAACAGGAAAGGTGTGTCAGATCCATCACCCCTTTTCCAAAGGATCCTCTCCTAGACGGGATCCCAGGATCCCTGAGGCTGGAAAAGCTCTCCCAGCCCATGGAGTCCCAGCTGTGCCCACCTTGTCCCAGCCAGAGCTCTGAGTGCCACCTCCAGGCACCGAATTAGCTCTTTCCATGG